GTGTATTATTCGCAGCCATTCGTTTTCTTGCTGGCAAGAGGAAAAGCTATCGGCAAATGTAATGCATTATGTATGAGTGCGTGATATTCAAGTAAAGCGGTGCCGATTCAGAAAATGAAGCCTCTTTAAGAATCACCATAACAAGAGTAATACCTACGAATGTTTCCCTTCTTTTTATTGTGCTTTTTGATCAAAAGAAGTAATTTTCGAAAAACTATCGAAAGGAATAAAACCTATTCGTCTATTTTTTTAAAGATATCATTTTTGTTTATCTACTAATTGAATTATTGATCATCGATTCTAAGAGATCAATAAGATATTAAATTAATTGCGTACGATATAAAATTGAAGGGAAGAAAAGTTAAAGGAGTAACGTGATTTAGAATTAACAAAGAAATACAAGAAAAATTGCCCCACAAGGAAATTCCATTAGCCTGAAACGTAAACGGAATTCTGAAGCACATATTTCACCATCTATACTGGAGTTAAACGAATGTAGCAACTTGAATTACCTCCGTCAGTGCTATTTGATTAATTGTTTGCAGACAGTATAATAAAATTTTTCGTTAAATTTATTTCTGATAACTTTAATAGAATTCATTCGATATTGATTTCCATCGTTAATACGCGTTAAAACATACCAAATTGCATAAACAGCGCTAATTATTTTGTTCATATTAATAGTTGCTACAATCGATGCGTCATCTAATTATTGTACTGTATAGCATATAAGCTGTTTCATATGTACATACATCTATCTTAAATGAGTGCATAAAACTATCCCAATAACCTTTCATTCGCGATAAACATGTTTTTATGTTGATATTTATATCATATTCAGAATTATATATTTGTTATATTATTTTTTGTATTATTATAAACTCTCAAGATTACTTTTATATTAATATTTAATTACATTTATTATCACATATTATCTATTTCTATATTTTAATATTATACTTCTATGATTATATGTTGTATTTTTATACTACATATATGCTGTATTTTTATATTTTCACGTTACATTTTCTGTTAATCTATATATTACTTTTATATTAGACCTTTTAAACTAGAGATTTCATATAGCTGAAATTATCATCACATCACATGTCAAATTCGAGGTGGCATTGAATTTTGTTATCTCCGTGGAACAAATGTCATAACCTAATTCTCAAATGAGGGAAAAAATATACGAGAATGATAAATTGCCGGTGTAAAAGGATAATTTCTGGATATTTGTAGCTGCTTTCTGTTCATTTAACGAAGGAGGATCACTTATACGACATCACGACATATGCGAATACATTCCATGCCAGGAGAGACATACCACCAAAAGAAGGAATAATAAGAAGAGAATACATTGCTCGTATTATTTTCTTATCGCAAATGCACTTGTTGCTTTCACAGACGAATAGTTAATGGTACGCAGTCCTTCTTCATTCCTTCAATTGCCTTGCTTCTTGTCTACGTTCATCAGTTACTGAATGGTTTCCTATGACCCGTAAGACGTCTTTTCTTCGAAGAATATATCATTATAGTCTTTAAAAAGGAATTTTAACTTGAACAGAATGCAACATCTTCGCTTTCAATAGAAATTTTCCAATTTTTCCTAAATTTCCTTTGTATTTCAGCGGTAGTTTTAAAGTGAAAAAATTGGAAAGGGTCAGAGGAAATTAATTTGTTGAAAATTAATTAATAGCGGTGTAATGCATATTATTAGGATATGGAAACAGTGAAAGAATATCTAGGATATATCAATCCTCATTGGGTGGCGGTGGTTGCAACTGGAATGTACACTCATCTCCGAGAAATTTGCATAATTGGCCTATGTTTCGATGAGGACAATAGCCCTCCATTCGATCCTTCTTACGCCTCGGTACTATTCATTTTCTCAGTACTGTGTCTGCTTGCGGAGTACAGGCTTTGGCCTAGGACGCTTAAAGAACCACCGATTCAACTTCTTTATATTTACGAAGTGAGCATAGTTGTTTAAAATATTAGCAATTGATTTAATCCCTAATAAATTTGTACGTGTCACTATCCCGTTTGCATTATTATTGTTACATTTATTTTTCTCCACTATTATTTTTATTTACTATTTTCTATTATCTTTATCTTTATATTTTATCATTTTTATTATTCTCGTCGTAAAGTATTAAAATGCAATTACAGATAGTACGTTCGTTTTCTATATGATTTGTCACATGATGGTAACAAATCTCTTTGACATATAATAATATTTAACACTTGTATAATAATGCTTAACACATATAACACATATAACACATATCATAATGCTTAACACAAAATTTTGTAATACGTGTTATTATAGTGTTATACCTTGCTTTGAAACGCAAAGAATTATTTTCTGCACAGATGTTAGTAGCAGCACTGACCACAAATTTAGCCACACGTGCCATTTGGGTGCCACTCATGTACGTGATTTATTGTTTAACTCAAGAGTCCAGTAAATGTGTGAGTTTACCAACAGAAATGCTATTTGTTATCAATATTGTATAAAATTAGGGAATATTTATATCTTCTTCTTTCATCTCATTCCCACAGTCGAATCGATAGTTAAAATATATTCGTGATTTATATATTCGTATAGAAATAAATTGATTTTTCAGTTACTGTGGTTAAATACTGTTTTGGGCTTGAGCCGTTACTCAAATTTGACTGAATTTGCGTATTACATGGCGAGAGACTGCGCCGCGACGCATATGGCGCTTTGCATGTCCGTCTTGTCATTCGTTTGGATGCTGGACGCCACCGAGTCTTTGAACGCCATTTTGGACACTTGGACCAAGTAGTGAACTAGTAATGTTTAGATTTATAAGTAATTCAAACGTACCATTTATTCATAGTTAAATAACGAAGTGCAATTAACTAACATAAATGGTGATTATTTCGATGAATTGAAATTTCACACCGGGACAAGAGAAATTTCAATTCCTGGAAATATTTCCTGTCAAAGAAATTTTTAACGAGGACTATATACTTGAACAAATTATTGTGTTAAAGACAATGAGAATCTTTAAGACAATTTGACACAAAAATATGACGAGAATATTATAACTAAAACGATAGTTATAACAATTTTATTTGTATTTTCGTATTTAGAGGCAGAATTAGATTCTTGGCTCTCTGTAAATGTAAGAGGAAAAAGATCAGTTTTGCAAATCCGGAAGTGACAGATTGGTTCGTATACAAATTTATGCGCAGCACAGATTCTCAAAATGAGAACAAACCAGAAATGTAATTTAATATGTCTCATCTTTTCGTACTTGTCTATTGTATACAACTTTTTATCCTTGTATATGTATGAGTTCATTTTGAATAAAGTCCATTTTTTGATACTGTAATTATAATTGCATTTAATAAAAGGCATGTGTTTTATTTATGTTCTACTTTATATTAAAAATATTGATATTGAAACTAATTTTCACAATTATTAAATTTATTATTTATTTTTCTACTTGTATTTGTAGACAAACACATGCGCTCGATAGTCGAAGTTACCATTTTATTTTTCGATTATCGAATACCAACAAACGAATGGTAAATTCATACAGCATATTGTACATTAATCTATCTTGTGCATTAATCTAATGAATGAGTTCTCTTCAATAACTTTCTCAAAACGTCTACTTTAAATAAGAAAATTAGTGAAGAATGGCAAAGCTGCTTTACACAATTTGGGCACTTTTGTTAAACATTTTTGGGTTACCAATTTTTCGAACGTGCTTCGCAAACGCCATGGAAGACGAACAATGCGAATCCCTTCTCTTAGGGCCACCATTTAGTTCATTCTTCTTCAGTATGGGAGTGTACATCATTATTATTAATTCAACCCTATTTCCACCATTTTTCAATAAGCCAAAAATGGTTTTCCTAATTTTGTATGAGGTTAGTGACAACCAGTTATCATTCATCTCTCCAAGAATATTCATTTTTGTAGTTTTATTTATTTATTTGTTTGCCTGATTTTCCATTCATTTGCCCGATTGTAGTTTCTAGCCACTGCATTCTTTCTGGAATTCGCGATGGCCTGCATTTGGACACCGATCGACGTGCTTTTATCCTCGACATTGCCATCGAATCTTTGTCTCGTAATATTACAGTTACATAATTTATATACAACAAAAATAGTACCTCAGAAATTACATAAATGTGAAAGTTTAAGGCTTGGATAAATACGTACATAAGAATTTCGTAAAGTTTCGGATAGATGCGTTGATATTTATGAAAATATGTTTATTTTTAAAAGACATTACGACGACTTGGATTGAAAGATGCAGCAGTTTCGTTTTTAACAAATAAATCTTTGACGATGGTTCTAACTTACACTGCGGCCATCGCGTTCTTTCTACTTACTTTTCATGTCACGGGTGCTGTGGATTACACTATTCTTAGGTACAATTTCCATTAATAGTTACAAATTAAAACAAAATAATTACTCGTTATGCATTGGATTAATTTTTTTGATTAACCGTCTGATTCATTTTCGTTCTCTATTTGGATTTGTACTTTTCTCAAAACGATATTCGATCTTATCAGTTTATAATTTTATACAGAGATTATGGAATAATTCCTTTCATGGGTCACGTTCGAGGAAAGGTATGGGAAAGGATGCAGCAAGAACTTCCATTTTTAAACGAAGGGACCAAAGTTTGTCGCTGTAAAGTTCGCAAAGGAAAACGTAGTAAAAGTCACGTCAATAGCAATAGATAATCCTGATAATTATTACTTTCACGTAAACATACGCCTAGAAGAGGATATCTAAGAAATATTTCTGGAATTGCATATTATGTATTTGATATTTACGCAATTTCAACCAGTTTGTGACGACATTCGAGTGCTCGTTTCATTCTTTCACTTACTTCAACGTCATACTTATTTTCCATACTTACTTCCTCAAAATTTCTCATTACATACGAGTTTTCACCGACTATAATTTATTTCGAGACTTAATATCACGTGTTTTAATTTATCCTGTCGAGATACGTAAGATGTCTGCAAAGTATTAACTTAAAAAATTTTTATTATCATGTTATGTTATCATCTATTCTCGTTAATATGATTTAAGGAGTATTCTTTAATTCCAGTGAATAATTCGAGAAAATAAATGAAAAGGACTTCATGTCACTTAAAACACGACGGTGATATTATTTTTATGAAAAAGAAGGCATTTATTTCGTTCGAACTGAAATGCAAAGTACAAATGGTATAGATAATATAGTGGTAATAATGTAATAATTAATCGTTAATAAATATCAATTCAATTAATAATACAGTGTGTACCAGTATACTGTGGAATATTATATATACGGTAATTGTACTACACGGGATGTGTTCAGTGGCAGCGTTACAATCATTTTGTCATCGAAGTGTATTATATTACAATGGGTTTTCATCCATTCTTCGCTGACCGACGATAACGTGTCGGCTCCTCGATTGTGACTTTACAATTTACTCGAGACACTCCCCTATTTTCCGTTTTTGCGCCACACTGATTTCCTCGTTTCTTTAAATTATCGCTTTTTGCCGGACGAAGGGCGAGGGGTTGGGGGTGGGGTGGGAGCGCTGACCAAGACAATGCGAAAAGTATATAATTGTTCGTGGTCCAGAAAAATATTCAAGTTGGATTACTATGCACGCTGAAGTCAATCAAACAACCGCGATATCGATATCTTTTTCATTGAAAATTAAAAACATATTATCAGAGAGATACTTAAGCTACATAAAATTATTTCAAAGATACCTTGATCAGGAAAAATTCTAAAATTTAGAAAGAGAATTCTACGTTGATTAATAATACTAATTATTCTCTGAATAAAATCGTTTTTAAAATAATCGTAGGTTAACGAGAGAATTATAAAACAGAATGTATATTAATTTGATACGATATTCGCATCTTTCCAATTAAAAATTTGTTAATTTTACTGAAATGATATCTGAGCTACGCAAAATTAATTCGAACATAAAAATGATATCTGATCTGAAACAAATTCAGAAATAAATACCGTGTTATTAATAAACAATATTGACATTTATACATGCCAGTATTAATTAATAACACTGACATTCCAAAGCTTTGACTAAAATATGTCGAAATTTTTAATCGTAACTCCTGGTACGAATTATTATTTGAAATACACGATACAAAGATATTCTAATTCAGTCAGTACACCGAAGTAAATATCCACGATAATATATCTCCCTAAATAAAAATCGAGGAATTCCAAATTATTTCAAGTGCGTATAAAAATTATATCTGATCTAAAAGAATTCCAAAACGGTGACTTTGATATTAATTAATATTACAATCATTAATACCACTAATATTTTAAAGCTTTAACTAAAATTTCCAAGGTAATCGGGACTCGTTGAACAAGTAGTCAACTCAACCGGATGAATTCTAATTGATATTCTAATTTTAATTAACTGTTCCAGGCGTGCATTTTCCAACCGAATATTCCCATTGACACGAACGATATTTTCCTTTTTATTTCGATGCAGCACATACAGGCGTGTCTCGCTCGCTCGTCATCGCGATACAAGGCGCGTTCGTTGAAAAGCGTTCGGATGGCGACAAACGAACAAAGAGAGAGAGCTTGAAAGAATTCCGAACTCGGGAGAAACTCGTCACTGAGCATTCGATCAAGCGGACTAGTGCCGTTGTAAAATTAACCTTGAGTCGCTTCGTTTGAATTCGCAATTATTTCGGGACCGAGGCACGAGCTGCCTCTGTTCTTTGTGCACGATTAGGCAGTGCTTGGAAAAGTTTTACAGATATGTAACATGAGCTCGCGTGGCCGCCATATTTTTTCCATTAACGGGAGCTTCCACGTTTCTTTTTCAGTTTCTCAGTTGTCTCCTTCCTACACATTCCTACTTCGTGATAATTCACCCGGACTCGAGAACTCGAGGACTCTGGTCCTCGACTTCCGGTCTCGACGCTGAGACGTCCTCGAACGTCGTCTTTGCTCTTTCTCTCTCGATTCTTTCGACTCTTTCTCCTCTCTCATTCTCATGCGTTCTCAATTGGCTTTCGACATTCTTCTTTCGGGTTTTTGTTCGCATGCCAACTAGTTTTCGGTAAAAAAGTTGAGCCGTGTGTATTTCGAATGATTACCTTAACTTAATATATCGATGGCTCAATGTTCACTGTTGTTTCGATAAAGCAACTCGACGGCTGTGAAGTTCAACTTTTTCGACGCGTGTGTGAATTTCTGTGTATGGTACAAACGTATTATCGGAAAGAAAAACGAAGTCCTGATCGCGTGGCTTTTGCCCCGACTCAGAAATGACTTTTCCTTATTTTTCTCGTCCCTTTGTACAAAAGGTACAACGTTGATTCGATGAAATCAAATTCGTTTCGATAAATTATCGCCTATGATCGGTGCACAAGGTTGTACATGCGTCGCGTGTAGTTAAAATATAAGTGACTCGGGTGTTGTACGATAATCGTGTACGTAAAGAAATGTTAAATATTCACAATTATTCTACACAATTTACAGGTTCGCCGCTTTTCTAGACTCATTTACTCGTCATTCGTGACACGCACTGAACATTTACAACGTATCAAGAAATCAGTTATTGCTATTATTAGAAACGAAGGATATGTCTCTAATCGTAAATATAAATAGAGAATACAAAGGAAATTTATAAATATTATAAATATTCGTCATTGGATCTTTAGCCCTGCTGAAATGACAAGAAAATTTAGCATTAACGACTATAAAGGATGCCTCTTGAGCCTCTATCTCTTAAAAATAGAGATTGCTTTCGATCAATTACGAGAACTATCTCGTGGAATGAGAATAAGGAACGTTTTCGTCGAAACGATATCTTTTTATCTCCTTCGATCTCCTCTTTTTTCCTTTTTTATTCTTTTCATTCTTACATCTCGATCCTCAATCGTTAACCCCTTCTATCGTACGTTCCGAAACTAAGTACGATCCATCAGTGGCAAATAAAAACGTAATACTCGTCGAATGAATCAGACATGTTTCGCGAACCTTGTATCTTCGTACAAGATATTCGATGGTTGGGTGTGATCCTAACGATATTTCCTTTGCACCTTACGAACTGCTTCCGTTTTATATAAAAATATATATCAACAAATACGCAATATCGAAAATGTCGGCTCGTTTAACGAGGATCTGACCTTAGAATAAGACAGCTCTGCTAACTTGTCCATCTCACGTTATTTATCATGAATTACAAATATGAACGTCTTTGGTATGGTTAGTGTGATTTTATCAGAGATTAATTTGCATATGAATTTCACTTCGATTCGTAACCCGGAGTAGCATGTGGAATTTTCGCGTTAGAATGCATTTTCACGTAATTCTTCTGTTCGTCGATCCGCGGTTCGTAAGGTATTAAATTGCGTCCTGTCCAGTAACGTGCAAGGTTCTCGAGGTGCCCAGGTCAAGCGAATGGAAAGATGCTTTTTATCGAGTTGTCGAATTGCGCTGCAATTTCGCGCGTTTCACAAGTGAATCTCGAATGTTGACTTCACTAACATTTAGATTTTGTCGAATGATGTTACATCGTCGGGAAGAAATTTGAACGAAGTACGTGCTTATTAATTTTACAGCCACGTCTCTACTGTCTGATGTCTAGAAACGAATGCATGCATTATATCCTGAACAAAGTTCCTACAGAATTTAAAGTAACATTTCCAGTCACTATTTCGATACTTTTATATTACTCTAACAGTTCGATATCTCGACTAAGAGGTTCACGAGTCGAATCTGGAAATACGAGCGACATATATATAACTACGATTACCTGACAACTTAACATTCGAAATCTAGAAAGGTAGACTTTTGGGGATAAAGCTTTCAATTTATCGAGAGGACTCGTTAATTTCTTCGTGCAAAGCCAATCTCCAAGAAATCGAGGGTTGCTCTAATTTCGCGATTCACTGTCTTCAAATATCGCGTGACAATCGTTCTTTCATTTATTGCCACTGTACACACGCGTGCGCGCTCCTGCGCGCTACTCAACTCATTATCAGTTAATTAACGATAAACCGTTCGTCCTCCTCTAACGCCAGTCCGTCGAATACTGTCTCTGCTTAGAAACTACTTGGCGGGGTGAAATCGACGATAGGAATGGCCAGAGAAACGAAATGGTGTACTACGAAGGAGGACGGTGAGATAATGAAATGACGATAATTCAATGGTACGAACCTATCAACATCGAGAAACGTGAAACGATTCGGTCTCTATAAACCGAGAAAAATGAGATCAATTTCCGCATAAAAAAGTTAATCAGTCTGGTACAATTTGGCTGCACCTCGAAGAACGAAAGCTGGAAGCTTCAGTCATTGAAGAACTAATTGTAACCGAAGATAATTACCCATCGCGAAAGTATCATCGTTGAAAACCCTTTTCGTGAAAGGAAAAGAGAAAAGAAAAGTTTGTATTAAATTTAATCCGAATGAACCTCGGATCCTTCGAATCGCGCTAAACTTTCGAAGCGCAACGATCTACTTGCGTATCTCGTGGACAAAATGCAAATCAGCAAAGTATTCGGCAATAGCCTGGCAAACCAAGATTAATTTTTGCACTGACAATCAGAAGAAACGAGAAAATAGCACGGTTACCGTATCTACGTCGATACAATATTCCAAGCAGGGTTGAAGAATCGTGAGAAACGAAATGAAGACTTGTCGCGTTCGACTTCGATGTGTTTCTCGATGTTCTCAGGGCTCACGAGGAACAGACGTAAACGGACGTCGAAGAAAATGGGCGCGGGGAAACGTAAAGTTTAGAAACATCGCTGGGAAACGATACGCAAGACGACGAATCTTGGTAGGACAATTATACAGAGATGCTCGGTACCGATCGCGGCGCATTACGAGCGGCACCGGCACACCGAAATACACGACGTTACTTACAATATTCGTACAAGTGCTTAACACTACGCCCGGACAACTCGATCCGACGGGGCTTCACCTAACCGATAAATTGACTATTAATATTTCCGTAGAGAATTTTACAAATCAGTCGAGACACACGCATGGAGATGCACTGGGGTGACGCCAACTTGTTCCTCGTCGCAGCACCAGCGACGCTTTAACGAGAGTCGCGCTTGTTCGGGCGTCGAAGTCACTCGCGGCGTGTGCCAGTCGCCAATGCAGCCACGTGGAAGGGACGTTTCGCGTCGATTCCGTTTTTCGCACGCTCGCCGATTTTCTCTTTCTCTATCGTCTCTTACTTCTTCTTCTTTTCCCCCTTTTCTCCTTTTTTTTCTGTATTTTTTCTTTTTTTCGTCATTCCTTCTTCCCGCTATTTTCCTCCAATTCGAGCTGGAACTCGCTGACCGGTTCGACCATCGACAGAAAATAAATATTAATACTACGTCGAGATTTGAATCGTGAGCTTTTCTCGACAACCGGTCATCGTACCTCGCGCCATTGTGATACTCTTCCCCTCTGTTTTTTGTTTTTTTTTTTTTCTTTTTCGCTTTTTAACCTTCTCTTGACTCGTATTTTCCTTTGTATGTGAGATTCTTTCATTTATATATACAGATATATATATATATAAAATATATATGTGTATATGTATATATAATGTATATATATATATATATGTATATACCTTTATATTCATATTTATATTTATATCGCTATATAATATTAATTATAGTAATTACACATGCGCGCGGTTACTCTCCTTCGTCCTCGCAGACTTTCGTGCGCCCCACACGTTGCTATACCCTTTGTCCTCCGCCGTGCGCTACTCTCTTTCTCTCTTTGTATATATATATGTATATATA